TTCCACTAAATAACAAAAGTACATCAAAATGATTGAAGCTAAGGGCATACAAAACTGTCTAACAGAATGATTACATACATGCATAGTTGTTTTAGTGGAACTAGTTTATCCTTCTAGAGAATCACCTTTTGTTACAATTTGGAAAGAGAAATCATCTGGTTTTTTAGTAGTAAGAACCAATCAAATTATTGGGCAATGGTCACAGTAAAATACTAGGAGGCCATCTAGAAGAATTATGAGAGAATTTTTGTGGGAACCAAGCGATGAAAGAAGAGATCATCTAATCAAATGGGAACAGGTATGCAAGTCTAAAGAACTAGGAGGCCTTGGTATTGGGAATCTAACCAAGAGGAATACAGCTTTGCTAGGTAAATGGTTTAAGAGATTTCCTCTAGAAAGAGATAGGTTGTGGCACAAGGTCATTCATGGTTTCGCAGAAAATGGTTGGGATGCAAATGTGGCACTCTGTGTTTCTTCAAGCACCCCTTGGAAAGAAATAATAGAGAACCTTTGGGGGTGAACTTCCCAGTAAAAGAAATCTAGTGCAAACCTATGCCTCCCAAAGTACAAACTTTGTGTTGGGAAGTGTTCCTTGGGAAGATCAACACCTGTAACTTGCTACAGAAAAGAAGGCAAATATGTGCTTCTCTCCTCATATGTGTGTTTTTTGCAAGGAAAGTGGTGAGACCCTCCCTCATTTGTTAATCTCCTGCTCCTTCGTATCTTGTATTTGGAAACACCTCTGTTCTATCTTTGGTTGCAGAAGGGTACCCCCATAGAATGTGGTAGGCTTGTTCAACTCTAGTTTCTTAAGACAATAGAAAAGGAAGAATCTTGTGGAGGGCAGCAAGAGCAGTGATGATATGGACTGTATGGGAAGAAAGGAATCAGAGAATCTTTGATGAGAAGAGAAAACCTAAAGAGGATTTAATTGAAGCCATAACAGTAAGAATGACACATTGGGTAAAAGCTTTGGATATTTATCGAGAATTTTCAACAAATGACATTAAGATCCTGGACTGAAGTGGCACAAACAGGACCTGTTGAAAGTATATGATTGGTATGGAAACCTCCAGCTTTAAATAAGTTAAAGTTGAACTTTGATGGCAGTTCATTGGGTAATCTAGGAAGGGCAGGAATAGGGGGAGTTTTTAGAAACCAACAAGGAGTGGTGTTGGCCCTATTCTCAGGACCAATTGGTTTTGGAGATTCAATTCAAGATGAAACCATGGCTCTCTTACAAGGTTTGAGACTCACGGTACAGCTAGAAGTAAGAGAGTTGAAAATCGGAGGAGATTCACAATTAGTCGTCTCATGGACCAAAAATCTCAGTTCAGTCTATGGAAATACAGACATGCTTTCAGGGAAATTGATATCCTAGCAAAGAGATTCAATTCTTCTTTTAGCTGGATAGGAAGTACTGCAAATGGGTTGGCAGATGTTTTCGCAAAGCAAGGAGTTAACAGGCCTAATTTATTTTGGGCAAAGCTGTAACCTGATGCATTTTGGGGCTTCTATGTAACCTGAATGTGAAATTTGGGAATCTCTAATCATCAAGTTGTATTAACTACTTTTTAATTAATTTAATGAATTTATTTTCTGATGATCAAAAAATGGTCACAGTAGAAAAGGAAATATCATCAAGATCAGCTGATATCAGTACCTTCTTTTACCAAATTCCTTTATTTAACACAGCATACTACCAATTTAATCTAAGCAGTGTAACCTTGTAATTATTGGAGCTTCTTAGAACAGCTATTTTGAATGACCAAAACCATGCACTAGGAATACTGTGAAACCAGTATATACCTCATATATTCTTTATGTGGCATACATAGAAGCTACTGTAAGAAGCTTATCACAGAACTAGAATTTCCCTATTATTTTATGTCCTTCATAGAAAAATAAAGATGTAAAGAAAAATATAAACAGCCTTATTTTATGCATGAGAGAAAGAGTTTGTGGAAGACAATATGATAGTAGGACCCAATCTGAGTTTTCCTTCAATATTTGGAAAAATGCAGAAATACAGACCTTGCCTCTTAATTCTGCATGATAAACTGATCCATAACCACCTTGACCAATTTTATTAGCCAAACTGAAATTGTTTGTAGCCTTTGCGAGCTCTTCATATGAGAACTCCACTGATTTATCCACAGTGATATCTGTCAGCCTTGGAGAAGGACCACCAACAAAAGCAACAGATTCGGTGGTATTATCCAAGATACCCAAAGAACCTAAACCCAAAAAATGAACTACTGTAAACCATGTCTCTTTTCTCATAGTAACTTCAGAAAAAAAAAAGGAAATATAAGTAGAACAAGTCTGATCAAGAAGATTAGAGTGTTCAGGAAGTGCTTTAATAAAGTGCACTGGTAAAACAGGATATGTGTAGCCTACCCCATATACTTAGAGGATAAGGCTTTCTTAAGTTATATTGTGTTATGATATTCAATAAGAAAGAAATTTCTATTTTACAAAATCCCCGTCCCACCCCCTCACACCCACCCATGTAAAGTTACAGCATGGTACCCATAATTGAATAGGCAAATGATGGGATATTATCACTAGCTTATGGTACCAAGTGAGGGGGTACAGTACATTTATGTAGATGGTTTAAGCATACCCACCTATAGGACAATAGAAACCATTATTATGTTTTATTTCTTAGATTATATATTTATATATGTAAGTTAGATATGTAATTGTATACTGCATGATAATAAGAAGGAAAAAAAGCCATGTACCAGGTGATTAAAAATCAGAAGACCAGGCTGACTTCTGGACTAGAAGGTATCCCAAATGCCCCCTTCATATGCATCATATATTATCATACAGATCCCATAACAATGACACCATAATGTATCTTAATTTCAGTATATGATAGTGGGGTGGAATAACATAACATAGAAACAGAATGGCCTTTCACGTCACAATAAATCAAAACCCAAAACTCACTGAAGACTTTTACTGAACAATGTTAAAATAGGTATCTGTAAAGTTCTGTGCCATGAAATTATTTTCAGGATAAAGGCACAAACAGCACTGGTACCTTGTATTCTAAATGTTGGTCTCAAGTTCTTAACTTAGGAATCATTACTATCACAGCCAAAACAGTAAAGACCATGAAAGAGTTGAGAGTAAACTGACATCACAAACAAGCTGAAGGTTGCTTAATATTGAAAAGGAGATACTTAAATGGCATGTCATCTTGAATCAAAACAATCAAGAAGACAGACTAAAATTAAGAACGAGAATTTTAGAAACCAATGAAAGAAAAAAAGGGCTTTTGTATCCTAATCAATGCAAAAGAGGTTCCCTCATCTATATGTTAGGTCTCTATTGTCTCCAACAAGAAAGAAAAGAATGGAATCTCCTAGTCTCAGAATATTCTGAAGACATACCCTCAGATGGAAAATCTGTGGCAAATCAATCTCTTTCTCTTCAATAAGGTAGAACAGTATATGTCTAGAAATTCCTGAAGCAGCATCCTTTAGAAGAGAAAATTCATGGATTATTAAATATATGTTAATCAAACAAGAAGGCTTACCACGTCTATGTTGAGAATAATCATCATCTGTTGCTGCGGCTAGCAACATTACCTTCTTTACCTTCTTTCTTCTATAAAGATATGTAAACACTGCCGCCAAAGACAAAGCTACAGCTGCTATAGGAATCAATATGCGAGCAATTACTCCACTAGAAGTTCCTGCTTAAGTTTCACAACAATACATCGTAAGCTTAATTGCTTAAAATATTTATGAAGTAGTGACCCTGACATTCGCATTTGTATCCCAAAATGACAAATCAGCAACCATAATAAAGCCAAAATAGTAGGAAGAGACAACCACCTGCACTGCAGAAAAAGAGGATTTCACACCCATGTTAGATAACTCCAGAGGATGATGAGGTAAGATAGAAAGGTAAGAGATTAACACTTTTTTTTGAGGATCCGATGGTATTGTAGGTTACCTCAAATTTAGGGGACGGTAGCTTCCATTTTGATCTGGGCAAAACAAAACAGAAAAGAGAGGGAGAGAAATGGTATTAGCAAGGTAAATAACTTGTCATGTTACTTTATTGCTTTTGATTAAGTGAAACCTTTGAGAATTGAGACCTACTTGCCGTTTTACAGAAAAAGCAACCCAACCAATGCATTGACTGATTTGTATAAGCAGGGCAGTAGTAGTTGCAAAAACATGATGCTAATCTCTCTAATAAGATGACACCTTTTGAATGCTCTTAGAACGTCCTTTTCATCATATTCTTAAATTCCAGGGGTTTCCAAAAATTATGATCATTATTCCATAATAAGAATGAGTGTTTCATTTGGGGATTTTAAGTTTTAACAACTACAGAGCAATATTAAAATTTTAATAAGAAACTGATAAGATCGTACCTCAAAATCTTATTTCTCTAGATTATTCTAACATATGGAATTAACATCCTATAATAGAGAGCTTTATATATATATATATATATATATATATATAATGAGTAGAGCAAATTCAATAAACATGAGTTTTAGTTGCTTGTTTCTCTTTGTTTATTATGTATACATTTGCCTTTAGGCAGAATATTCATCATGATTCTAAAACTATGTTCACTTTAATTGATTGTTTACGTGTTTTCAGTTTAGCTAACAACGTACAGTTATTATGATTGTCTAGATACGAACTCGATAACAAAGTGATTTAAGCAAACAAATGAATCACCTTTGGCTGGAACAAACACCAAGCCACTCCCAAGGCTGAAATTGGTATTGGGGTTGTAGTTCTGCACCAAACTGGAAGAGAGATTGAACTGAGATGCAATAGACGGCAAGCTATCATTCGGACGAAGTGGGTACGTCACAAACAACCCATAATCTTTGGAGACACTGCTATCCCCGCAGGAGCAATTTACGGTGACATTGAGTTGGGCATCAGTGTCAGGGATATCGATGGCAGAGTAGCTGTTATGGTTTTCCAGCCACTCCGCAGTTGTGAGATTGGAAAAATGTTTCTTAGCAACCTTGTCATAGGTATCGGCAGGAATGACAGAGTAGTTAAACATATGACCCAAGAATTCTCCATTCAAGCATTGGCAGGAGAATGGAATGTTTATTCTAATGCCAGATAGAATACTATCCTGATTGGGTACCTGAGGATTATACCTAAGAGTATCGTTAATTGAAACACCCATGACGTTGGAAATGAATGTGAGGTTCGTTCCTTCCCAAACGTAATAAGAGGCCAACGCGAGATCGCAGCCACTTTTGCACTTGCCTTCTGCTCCAACACAAAAAAAGATAACCACCATAATCACTAAACCCAACCCTATTTCAAGTATTCTCGTCCCTGCGGCAATCATGTTTCAGAGATAGAAATTTGGAACCCTTTGAAGTCCAACTCTAGAATTTCGAATCTACGACTAATCATCAGATGATGGAACTCAAATGATAAACCGAGAAACAAGCAAATAAGCAGAGACACAGGCTTCTCAGCTTTAACACAGTGGAGTTGACCCAACTTCTCAAATTTTCTTCTCTAGATTTTAAAATTTACTTAGCTAATTAACTGAAAGTTTAAAATCCTCGAAATTTCAGTTGATGATCAGACATTTTCATCTGTGTCGTCCTTTTCGGGTTTTGGTTTTAGCAACAAAAGCGCTTTCTTGGAACATTCTTTTTATTTTTTTGGTAAATTGCTTAAATTTCCCCCTAATCACTTCCATTTTTAAATTTGCCCTTCATATTAATAATTCAAAGGTAAAGTTGTAACTTTAAATTCTCTTCTTTTATTGTTTATAAAAGTTTATATGGCTTTTTTATTGAAACCAACCTCAATAATTATATGGATATTTAAGACATTTTTTTATTGAAACCAACCTCAACATAGAGAAATGTCAATGCTGATCAAAGTCAAGCGACCCTTATCCTGGATGTCCATGAATTTAGATAGCTGATTTGTGAGGTTTCAATTTAAGTATGCACAGCTCGTCATCTTTGATGTATTTTAGGGCTGCTAGGGGCCGAGATAGGATTTTTATTAAAGGGAGCCAAAAGCTAACAAGCATGGATAGGGYAGGGTATGTTTAAGTCAATTGCTGAAAACTTAAGATATGTGTAAGTCTTCTACCCAAGGTTCAAAGTATTGATACTGGTTGATACATCGCCAATATCAGTCCTTTTTTTTAACTTTTACCTTTTTTTGGATCAATGCTGATCAAAGTCAAGCGACCCTTATCCTGGATGTCCATGAATTTAGATAGCTGATTTGTGAGGTTTCAATTTAAGTATGCACAGCTCGTCATCTTTGATGTATTTTAGGGCTGCCAGGGGCCGAGATAGGATTTTTTATTAAAGGGAGCCAAAAGCTAACAAGCATGGATAGGGTAGGGTATGTTTAAGTCAATTGCTGAAAACTTAAGGTATGTGTAAGTCTTCTACCCAAGGTTCAAAGTATTGATACTGGCTGATACATCGCCAATATCAATCCTTTTTTTTTAACTTTTACCTTTTTTTCGATTTTGGTTTAGAGGGGCCAGTTTAAGTCCCGGCAACCCTCTAAACCAGGCCCTGACCTGATACAATCCCTATAGGGGCATATCGGAAAGGGCGTGATACGATACGCATTGATCGATACGTAACAATTTTTTGAACCTTTCTTTTACCCAATAAAAAACAAGGGAAACAAAAGCATGGACTAGAGCTAGAAGGGACTCACTCCAGTCCAACTTAGTCTAATCTGATTTGGTTGGTTATCTCCACTAGACCTCTCACTCTCAATACCCCCTAGATACCAACTAGGGGTGCTCACGGTTCGGTTAACCGAATCGTGGGGCATATTTTGTAACTGAACCGGTAGTAGTGGTTTTTGGAAAACCGATAACCGAAACCTATCAGTTAACCAATTGATCGGTTCAGTTAATCTTCGATTCGGTTCGTCGGTTTTTCAGATTTTTAATTTTTACAATATATATTATAAATATATAATAAAAATTATAAATATATAAAATATTATATTTTAAATAATAAATAATATATCATATATTATAAATATATATATAATGCATATTTATTAATTTATAATATATAAAAAGTATATATAAAATATATATAATATACATAAATATATAAAATATATGAAAATATATGTATATTGGTCGGTTCAGTTAATCGCTGGTTTTCTATATTGGTTAACCGAAACCTAACCAGTACCTTCGGCTTTTTAAAAATACTGAACCGAAATCGAACCGCTGATTCAGTTAATCGATTTTTCGGTTCAATTTTTTGTTTTTTTTTTTTTGCTCACCCCTAATACCAACTGAGCGGTGGCTTAACTAGTATATTAGCTGGTTTGCTCTAGTATAGATGTAGATTCAATTCTCGCAACCACTACAAGGGGCTGTTAGTGTGGTGCATATCAATGTTTTAAAAAATGACCTGGAATTGGAACCACTTTAGCCACTGGTTTCCAAGTCAGTGGTTCGATCATCTGATTCGAATAGACGGCCTGTCCCAATTTAAAAAAAAATAAAAAAATGGTCAAAACTGTTGTCCAAATCAAATAGATCGACGGTTCAACCACCCAGGTTAGTGGGTCGCTGACCAAGTCAATGGTTTTCCAAGAAACAGGTTGAGGGTGAAACAGAACTGGTTGCTTGAACGATTCCCAGACCAAATGGTCCAATCGTCTGAGTCAACAACGGTTCAAAAACACTGGTGCGTATCATCAAATACCAAAAAAAAAAAAAAAAAAATCTTAGGATTGATTGATTTTGACATTTAAGTAAATGGAGAATCAATCCTTATTGTCTATCCAGCTTGATCTCTGCAGATAACGCCCCCCTTGTAATTCGACTTTTTTGTAATATACTTCTAAGGACTCAATGCTATAAGCCTCTGGTGCGAGGCTCCATTTGAGACGAAGAATGTAAATACAAATTTATAGGGTACAAATACAAATTATTTCCGTCCAGGTAAATGCAAAACATAGACAAGCAGAGGATTGCATTTGTATCATCCGTGTTTGTGAAGAAGATGCAAATAGACGATACATGTTTGCTGTCGTTTGTTTCATAAGTGTCGTTACAAACGCATGGGATGGTTTTTACCCTCAAAACCATTGTTGGCTAGAAAATATCAAGTGGCTGCACAAGTTAAATAATCAGATATTGGTTGCTACATATAATCACAAATTAAAGAATAAGTAATTATGGCGGCTAGAAAATTTATGATTCATATCAATTGGTACAAATGAAATTGAAATCTCCCATGTCAAGACCTTGAAAGCTATGAGAGCAACACGATCTCAACATGTAATATTGGTTTTTTTTCCTATGAACAAATTCCCGAGTATAAAATATCAAACTTAAATCATAAGAGCAACAGATCTCAGCATATGTTCTTACCAAAAACAAATTCTTGTCGATGATTAAAGTTTAAATCACAAGAGCAGTAACACATCAGTGTTATCGATTGAAACACAGATCACCTTCTTAACTTCCCCCTCCACTAAAAATGCACAATATTACTTAACCTTCTATGTTTCTAATTACCACCCATTACATATTTACACATCATTGTTCTTCTATGAATCTGCTTGTTGACACAAGTAACAACATCACAAACTAAATTCCATTCATGATATCAACCAAGTAACATGACTCTCAACTTATTTGTTAATGCCCACTAAAACAGACCAATTGACATAGCTTTTAACCTATAAAAAATCACATCTTCCATTGGTTCTATACTGCTCTTCTTGGTTTTTCATCTCACATGGCCTAAGAGTTTCAGTTTACTCTTGAAATTTATTGCATAGTGGGTAATAGTAATACACACCAAAAGCATAATAGTTTCATATATGAAAGCCAAAAGACCCATGAAAAGAAATATTAGTCCTGAACACCTGATCCCAAACAAAACCATCACCAAATTCTCTGACCCCAATTGATTTAGTCCTGACCACCTAATATACCTTTTTCTTCACATAATTAAGTGCTCCTTGGGAAAAAAATCCCAGCTACTCTAAATATATTACTTATAATAAGAAATCTAGCTATTTTTACAACTCCAAAGTCCAAATACATGAGTCAACTTCCTGGGAAAAAAATTTGCCTTAACAAACAGCTCCTGCATTAACAAAGGGGCCATTTGGAAAATCTTTTTAGGAAGATCTTCTGGTAGCTATGACAGTCAAAAGGCGCATTGAGCTTTTGCATTAAGATCTGAGCAGCCTGAAGTCTGTTTGGTTAAGGCATGTCTTTCCGTGCGAAGACGAGTAGAAAAAAAAATGCAGCTCCATTTGGAGCTTCCCAAAAATCGCCTGTTTTGGGCTTCTCATGTCTTTCTGGTGCGTCGGCTTTTGGCGGCTAGATCTACCGCGAGCCAAACAGGAAAAGACCAAATCGCGGTCTACTGGGCTTGTAAATAGCCAACAGACCACACGGAAAGACGCACCAAGCAGGGCCTAAATTGCATCCTACCACTAATATCAGCAGGTTTAATTTCACTAATTTCTACCTCTAAGCCTCCTGAAGACAAGATGTTCATCATCGTCTGTCATAACCTGGTCTGAAATTTTGAATCTATGAAAGTCATCAAGATACAGGTTGGGGTATGATAGTAAAGTAGAACAAGGGGAAAAAAAATGGTGAATCCAGTAACTAGGTAGGAACAGTGTAGAGGGAACCCAACCATGGAAAGCTACTATATTAGAAAAAGAATGCCAGTCATACCCACACTCATGTAAGGTAACTGGTTGAAGGGCCTTCCTGTATAGAAAGAAGTGGTTTAACTCAAACTATGTATCATACCCACACCCATGGAAGGTAACTGGTTTTTGTAACAATTCTCCTCTCTCACACCTTCCATTATGAAAAGTCTAATACTGGTTTAATAATCAGAATGAATCTCTTCAACTGGAGCCCAAGATTGGCCAATGGCTTTGCTCATACTCTACCAAAGTCTAACACACTGAAGCATATCCTAATATGTTTTGAATCCCTGATAGAGCCATATACCATATATTTACTAGACATAACCAAGATATAGTCATGCACTCAAACAGTCTAATACATACCCAACCAAGTTATATATATATATAGACACAGCTTAAGAGAGTAAGCAAAGTATACCCCAAAAACATAGTTAAAAAACATCTTCTATAATATTTTTGAAGCCCTGTTTACTAGACAACCAAGTTGGAAGCATGAACCTAAACTGTCCATTACAAAACCAGGGATCATAGCTAATTCCGTTAGGTTATCAACCATCAATTATGAATGGCTACCAATTTTCCCCCTTATGAATATTCCAATTACAAGTCCAATCAGACCAACCAAACATGACTTAAGTGTTGGATATGATAGTTTAATCAACATCTCCTCTGCATTCCTGTTATCAACTGAGATATTATTGCAGTATCTGCAGTACATTTCCTCTGATTCCAATTATTGGGGTATGATCAATTAGAATTGCCCTTATAACCAGAGATAGTGAGAGATCTATGCTTAAACTATTCAAAAGGTATATAGCAATAGTTTTAGA